TCTTCCCCCCCCCAAAATACGACTCGCATGAAAAATTGCCTTTCCTTCTTGGGTCTTTTATGGCCATAGTAGTGAGGGGATGCTGAAGCAATGCCTGCTTACAGGAATGTCCCTGCCATCTCAGTTCATAGGCTCTCCAGCAGTGCTTGTTCTCTGGACATTACTCATATTCAGCAGGCTGAGAATGATGCGTGGTGGGTGTTAGGTTGCAAGGCCCTGTATTGACAGTGTATTTAGATTAGGGCTGTAGCATGCCAGAAATGAGAGTTTGGGAGGGAATGATGGGAAATGGGGAGTGAGCCGTAGTTCATAGGGGGAAATAGTGTTTCAGTTGGAGTAGGGTAGAGTTAATGGGTTATGCTTCCCTGTTTGAAGCACTCAGGTTTTGTCCTTTCTCTTTCAAAAGCACATTGCCAACTACATCTGTGGGATCCAAACCATTGGGCACAGAGTAATTGTTTCAGATGTTCAGGAGAGTTTCATCTGGGTGCGCTACAAAAGGAATGAGAACCAGCTCATCATCTTTGCTGATGACACTTATCCCCGGTGGGTCACTACAGCAACTCTCCTGGATTATGACACTGTGGCTGGAGCAGACAAGTTTGGCAACATCTGTGTGGTGAGTGTGCCTCGGAGAAGTCGGAGCTTTTTGGACACAACATATTTTTCCTTAAAACATCCATGACTTGTTTTAAAAGAATGAGAATCTGTGCTTAGCTGGAGACAACGCCCTGTACCATTCACTTGTTTTTACGGGGTGACTAGCTGTCATCATAGTGGACGGCTGCAGTTTATCAGTTTGTTAATTAAACAAGTTAAAGCATCAGCAGGTCAAAAAAGTATTTCTGAAGCATTCAATAACTTGTGTTAAAATTGCCCCAAAACTTGTGAATAAACCTCGAAACAAAGCTTGTGACTGAAAGGGCCCATAAGAACTTGCATCAGGGTCATCACTCTTACTTTCCCTGGCTAAACCTCATCGCTGGCATTTAGCTTTCTCTTGAAAGTTGGCTTTGTCAGTGCTGACACTTCCCCAATTGGCTGGATTTCAGCAGGGGAGGAGGAAATAATAGATGGTCTTTCTGCCAGAGCTTTGATCTCTTTCTGAAGCGTGCTCGGGTGCTTTGGAGTGCAGAGTTCAGCAAGTGTCAGACAGTGCGCCTGCAGGATTCAGCTGACGCACACAAATCGATCCTTTTCAGTTGTCCTGCCCCACATCCATCACACCACTTCCTTAGCGGGAACCACCTTCAAACCATTTTGACCATACCTTCCAGGCTGATCTGCAAGTGCCAGGCCAGGCAGAGGCCAGTCATGAGGTCCAGCCCATGTTTTTGAGTGATAGGCCATTGGTCTTGACAACACAGTTGTCATTTAACTCTAAAGGTCTTGTTGGAGGGGCAGATGGATGATTTTTGAAGTGTAAAGTGATTCTTGTAGAGTCCACAAAAGCAGCCTTTCAAAGACCACAAGGATTCTCCAGAGATAATGTACTACTGCTCTGCAGCTTGTCGACTCTTTCTTCCTCTTTCAACGCAGGTGAGATTGCCTCCCAACACCAATGATGAGGTAGATGAGGATCCCACAGGCAATAAAGCTCTCTGGGACAGGGGGCTTCTTAATGGAGCATCGCAGAAGGTAATGTTTCATGGGAAGCACATGGTTATTGTGGGAAAAGAATACGCTGCTTTTCTGTGAAGTCTTCTGCAGTGTTGTCCAGGAGATGTATTGGCAGTTCTGCTCCTATACATCTACTGTGCTGTGGGTGATCGGTTTTCACTGTCACTGGGAGCCAAATTCAGTTTCTGAAATCACAGCCGATGCCTATTCAGTGATGTTTGATTGAAGCAGCATGCTCATTTTCTTTTCCTGCTTTCCCTCATTACTTACATCTGTTTGTCCAGCTCAAGAGGGTAATTCAGCTGCATGCTGAGTTTTGCCATCTGGTCGCAGGTGGAAGGCATTTCCTCTTTAGAAAGGTGTTTCAGAACTAGCAGGTGGCTGATTTTATTCTGCTTTCCTCTCTCAAGCCTTTTGATGTTTTTATATAAGCTTAAAGAAAAAACATGCTTCTGTGGTTGACTTTCAGGCTGAAGTGATTATGAATTACCACGTGGGAGAGACAGTGCTTTCCTTACAGAAGACTACGCTGATCCCAGGAGGCTCTGAATCTCTTGTCTATACCACCTTATCAGGGGGGATAGGAATCTTGGTCCCTTTTACTTCCCATGAGGTAAGCAAGCCCCATCATTATGCTGCAGTTGCTGCTTTTCTGTGCACTCATCCCCTGGCCAGTATATTAATGAGCTGCATCCCTTGAGGGCAACTCTGGGGCTCTGCAGTCCATGAAAACCTGGGCTGCGGGAAAGCCTATGGCTGTGGGATGGGCTCCGATGCAAAGGGGAAGAGAAGGACTTGTTAACTCCTCCTTCTACATTGGTTCTTTGAAGAGTTGAGAGCTTTTCTTGTTGCACTGCTGTTCTAAATCTGATTGTGCTCCAGAGGAGCTCTTGGGTGACTTAGTGTCTGTGAGGAGGGATCCTTTGGCATGCTTTGTGTAGCCTGTAAACTATTGATCGGGCACTGATGCTTCAAGTCCTGAATATGGTACTCTCCTCGCCCTTTGCTGTGGCCTCCTGGAGCAGCAGATGCCAAGACATTCATTCTTTGAGCTGCACCTCTGTGCTGCACAGCTGCCATATGCTCCAGTTCTGGGAGGCTGATGCTGGCCAAGGTGGCACAGCTTGGCTCTGCTGTGGGTGCTCCCAGGGTGGAAGTGGTTAGGGGGTAACCATGACCAGACCTTGGCTGCCATATGCAGGGCCGCTCTAGTAGAACCTGGTAACGGCAGTGTTTCAGCCAGTGCAGAAGCACCTGGCTGATGGGTGTCATCTTGCCCTGCCAGTGGCATTGACATGTAGCAAACTGTTCTCTTACTGATTCTTAATCTCCCCAGGATCATGACTTCTTCCAGCATGTGGAAATGCACTTAAGGTCTGAGCACCCTCCTCTCTGTGGGCGAGACCATCTCAGTTTCCGCTCCTACTACTTCCCAGTGAAGGTAGGTCTGAGCATTTAGGATCAGCTGGTCATGGGGGTGCAGAGACTTGCTCTGGGATGCAGAACTGCTTTGAGGCCTGGCAGAAGCAAGTCATGGTTGCTGTTCAGTGGGGAAGGCTGGGGCAATGTAAACCATAGGTGGTGTAGTGACTGTGGCAGGAACCAAAGCTAGCTCTTGAATAGCACTCTGTAAGGAGAGCAGTACTTGGCACTTACTACTGTGTCTGTTTTGGTTTCTTAACCCTTGTAATTAGCCTTCTGAGGGTTGGTCTTGAGACCCAAGCCCAGAGATGCGGTTGCTGTGCTTCTCTGTGTGCCACAGCATCTCCTTTTTTCATCAGGAGCAGCAGCATTACATAGCTGTTTGTGTGGCTAGGTCAAACTGGATGTTGCCTGGGGGTATGTTTTTTCTGCCACTATGGAGAAGGGAAATCTCATAAGAAACAGCTGTTTGAGGAACTGTGTTCAAAGCTGTCAACTGCTAAATGCTGTGACAAGAAGGGTGCAGAGTACTGGACCAGAATAACTGCGTGGTAGCTACTACCAGAGTAATGTATGTCGTAATAGTCAGAAAACTGTCCCAGCAGCTGAGCTGTCCGAGTGCAGAAGGTGTTCTTGCTCTGGACGAGCTTGGGGCTGATTTGCAGTGTGCACAATCTCAAAGATGTTTCACATCTGACTGAAGATGCCCTTCAGTCATCTTTTGCAGCCTCCCCCAGCATTCCCAGCACAGTGCTTGGACCCAAGTCACATCTACCTTCCCTTCCCTTGTGTGATATTGCAGCCTTTCAGTACTTAAAGGGGGCCTATAGGAAGGATGGGGACAATCTTTTTAGCAAGGCCTGTTGTGACAGGACAAGGAATAATGGAATTAACATGAAGAATAGATTTAGACCAGACATAAGGCAGACATCTTTTATAGTGAGGGTGGTGAGGCACTGGAACAGGTTGCCCAGAGAGTTAGCGGAGGCCCCACCCCTAGAAACATTCAAGGTCAGGTTGGATGGGGCTCTGAGCAACCTGATCTAGGTAAAGATGTCCCTGCTCACTGCAGGGCGGTTGGGCTAGATGACCTCTAAAGGTCCCTTCCAACCCAAAGCATTCTGTGATTCTTCAGCTGCACCCAGGCTTTTTGGGTTTCTCCTTCATTAATCAACCTGGCCAGTAATAGTTGGTGCTAAGTGCTGCAATTCAGCAGATGAGGTCACTGAGCATGGTCTTGTTTCCAGGACAGGATTAAGAAGCTCCTGGGAACAAACTGTTTGTTGCCATTTTTCCCCGTTTAGGCAGGGTTCAGTGCCTCTGTGTTGTGTCAATTCAGTGCTCTCCTCCTTGCCCCTCCAGAATGTGATCGATGGGGACCTGTGTGAGCAGTTCAACTCCATGGAGCCTAACAAACAGAAGAATGTGGCTGAAGAGCTGGACCGGACCCCACCTGAGGTGTCCAAGAAGCTGGAAGACATCCGCACGCGCTATGCTTTCTGAGCAGCAGCTGGCAGGAGCAGAGCTTCTTGCTGGGCTCCTATGGACGCGCTTCCAAGCACAGTTGGGAGGAGGAACGTGTGCTTTTTTTCCCTGTTTAAATACTGGGTTGCTCCTCTTGGTTTATGTTTCAAAGTAATGTGACTCCAGTAAACGCAGTATCAGATACTAGGTCTCCCAACACATCCCACTGCTTATGTGGCTCCTGACGTTCTGGCTTCCAGCCAGAGAGATTACCTCTTGGGAAGTGCCCAAGGAAGGGCACAGACCCTCAGCCCCATCTCCTTGGCCCACTTCTCCCTTTAGGATGAGGGAGCCTGAGAGTGTCTTGTTCTAGCCTTGCAGAAAGCCCTGTAGGGCAGATCCAGTTGAGCCTTTGTAGGATCAAGTGGGTTTTGCAGTTTCCCAGCTTTTTGGTAAAGAAAGCAGCTCTGCCATGACTCAGGATTACCTGGCTCCCTTTGCTAGTTGGTGGCAAGAAGCTCTGGGCTTCCACCAGCCCTGGGAACTGCTGGTGGGAAGCCTGGCTGTATGGAGGGCATAACTGTCATACTTATCTTGAACGTTTTCTTCTGAATTGCAAGGGGTTTTTGGACTCACCATTTCTGAGTGTTTTCCCTGTAAATAGAGTTTTGTACAATGTTGACTCTTGGGGGTGGGGAAGAGTGAGGCCTGAGTCTGGGACTTGATTTGTTTCATAATAACTTTGGCAGGAGCTGTGTCTCCAAGCTGTGGCTTGTGAGCAGCACATGAAGAATAAAAGCCTGGTTTTTAACTACCCTGACTCTGGGGCTCCTCTCCTTCACAGCAGCTGCTGCTGACCTGGTGGGCACAGGAGGTTCAGAGGAGGAGTACGGAAAAGTGCACACCCTCAACCCCGCGCCCTGCGTGGATGCTGGAGCTGTGCTGCGGCCCTGCAGGTGTTGGCCTGCCAAGCCCCTCTCTGCCCCCCTTCCCTGCCTGCTCTGCCTGGAGCTGGCCGTGAGCCCGCAGCATGTCCTGCAGCCAGAGCTGCTGTTCTCCACTGCTGCTCTGTGACACACACAAAGCGGGATATGTGGAGAAAGGGTGGGAGGAAAGTGTCTTTCCCCCAGCTACTGTTTCTCCAGCCCTTCCAGGGCATGGCTGTGGCTCAAGACTCCTTCTCTTGCCCTGTGGAGCAGCTGCAGCTCTGGGAGGAGCAGCTGGCTGCCAGGATGGCTGGGGGAAGGTGTTGCTGCCTGCTAGCTGGCTGCAAAGGCTTGCAGCCGGAGCTCACCTACGCAGCAGGTGCTTCCCGGTCTTGCCTCCCATCTCAGCTTTGGTCCCTGGCTTACTCCTGTGAGTAGGCCTGTCTCTGCGGAGCTGAAGACTTCCCTTGATGCGTGGCATCCCAGGAAAGGGGCCTGGCCTCCCCAGCTGGCACTGCTCCCTGCCCAGGGCTTGGAAAGGCAGGTGGCCCCTGGCCCAGTGATGCACTCGCGTTGAACAGCCTCTGGGTTCCTCCTCTGGTGCGTGTGCTGTGCGGTGTGAGGGTGAACGCTCACCCTCCTGCCCTGTCCTTTGCACCCTCTGCTTCGGCTTGTCGCTACGGGACTGTTGGGAGGGGCTTAACCCAGGGCTGCACCCTTTGGCTCCGATGTGGCACCCAGCCACTGCTGCTTGCCCCACCCATCCTCTCTCTGGGGGTGGAGGGCTTTGTGCTTGCTTCCTTCCCGCACCTTACGGGGGATGGCCGCATCTGGGGAGTGGTAAATACACGAACTGAAGTTCATCCTGTGGCTTGTCAAGGACACGGGGTGCCCACCCAGTGCTCCCTGTGTTCCCTATCCCCTCATCCTCCCCCAGAGTGTGATACCTGCTCTGGATCAGGAAGCGCTTCCAGGAGAGCTCCGGCAGAACTTGGCATTCTGTGTGTCCTTAGTCCTAAGGCAAGGGTGAAGTCACACCTGGCGGGGCTCAGGGTGTTCCCAAACTTGTTCCAAGGGCAATGTTTTGCTTCATTGGCCTAGCCTGTGTAATATTCTCCTGCACAAGGCAAAGCCTGGGAGGGGCTGAGCCCCAGCCCAGAGGGGTAGGCTGCCCTGGGAGCTGGCTGAGCCCCCAGACCCCCTTTGCCTGTGGAGCTCTGAGCTGGGGCCCCAGCTGCCTTCCTTGGGAGAGGGAGGTTTCTCCCAGCAAGGGCTCTCCCCTGCAGCCACAGGGTGCTTGGCTCCTGCTGACGTGTGGGAGCAAAGCTCCCGGGACTGGTGCTGTGTGCCAGGGGTTGTTTGCCCTGGGCTCGCACCAGCGGTGGTTTCCATCCCAGCACAGCCAAGGAGGGCAAACTGCCTCCAGCACCGTGCTGTGTAAATTTGCGCTTCCCTTTCTCTTCCTCACCCCATCCCAGCTGCCAAGCTGATGACTACGTGGGCAGGGAATGCTATTAAATGGCTTCCTCTAACGCCTGCAGCAGATGCAGGCAAAATCCCTGTGGGCACCTAGGTGAGGAGCTGGACAGGCTCCTTCCCCTGCTCCGAGCTAAGCATCTTGCCCCCAGCCTGGAGCTGGGAGGGAGGCGAGGGCTGTGCCCAGGAGCTGTCCGGGGCCAGGGAAAGCTTGGCAGGAGGGCGGCCATGGTCCTGACTCCATGCCAGGGGAATCCCAGCGCACTCTCCTTGCATGCAGAAGCGCATTCCTTCCCACGCGTTTCCCTGGGAGCGCTGACCTGCTCTTTGATAGCTGGTTTCTCTCGCTGACCCCTTGGATGCCCGGCAGCCCCAAGCACAGAGGCAGCCAGCTCTCCCAAGGGGCTTTCTGGGGTGGTGGCAGGGAGGACAGCGTCCTGTCCCTGCCATCTCCTGCTGCTGTTCAGCCCTGAAGCATCCTGAGAAACGAGCGTGGGCTTGGGCCAGAGGGAGCGGGAGTCCTCCTGGCCTGGAGACAGCCAAGGGATGCCCCAGCCCCTCTGAGGTTGCTCTGGGCAGCCTCCCCTGCCCGCAGCGCGGCCCTTGCACACGTGCGTGCTGGGGGACACCAGGCTGACGCCCACTTTGAGTGCCCCAAAACGTGCCTGTGGGTGCCCAGCCCAGTGAGCACCCTGGGACACCTGGCCAGGAGGAGCCCAGTGTCCTTGGGGTGCCAGTGCTGGCGGAGCAGAGCACCCCAGGGAGCCTGTGGCGGTGCAGCGTGGTTAACCGAGCACCCCAGGGTGCATGTGGGCACCCAGCTGGGTTGGGTGAGCACCCTGGGGGCATGCTGCAGGGCTGGCCCAGCACCCTGAGGAGCAGGGGTCATGCAGTGTGGTTAGCTGAGCACCCCAGGGGCACCCAGGTGGGGCAGCCAGGCACCTGGGGAGCACC